GACCCTCCTAAGTTCTGGTGGCTGCTGGCATTCCTTGGCTTGTGGCTGCATCCCTGCCGTCTCTGCTTTCATGCTCACATGTACTTTTCCTCTTCTCTGTATGCTGGATCATCCTCTTCCTCCCTCTTACAAGAATACTCACAGCTGCATTTAAGGCCCACCCAGGTAATGCAAGGTAATCTCTCCATCTCAAGATCCTTATTTTAGTTATAGCTGCAAAGACCCTTTTCCAAATACAGTAATATTTAACAGATTCCAGGGATTAGGACCTAATATATTTGGGCACCACCATTTGGGCACAATGATGCAAAGAGTCTTCCCTTGACATAGAGCAGACAGTACTGAGTCCACCCTAAACATCCATGAGCCTCTCTGGCGGAACACACCTGTGAGCATGAGAAAGGCGTCCTACCTCTCATGACGCTTCTGTTTATGGGAACAGTGTTCTGTGTTTGAGCCAAGGGTTGATGAAGGAAAGGGGACCTCCCTGTAACTTTCCAAGTCCCTGAGCTCCAGCCGTCAAGTCCCAAACATGGAAGGTCAGGACCAAGGGTGTGTTCCTTAAGGAGAGGTCCCTGTTTTTCCTCCTCGGACTTTGAAGATGATTTTTAGGTAATGCACAGCCATCTCCTGGACTTACTCTGCTCTCATTCAGCACACCTCCAGCAGGAGGAGTTACAGGGAGGCTCACAAAGAGGATGGATAATGAACCCTCCCAGCTAGACATCTTGCTAAGTTCATATGAAACACTGAGACTGTGAGGAAAGAGATAATTTGAGTCTGTGTGTAGCTTTCTTTAAATAATCCCACTGCCTGCAAAGTATCTAAGCAAGGTTGAGAGCATGAAAATTCATGCCCACCTTCTTTTCTACCCAGTATTCATTATAGGCAGACCATCTTCTCTTGCTGGGTCCTATAGGGAAAGGAATCCAGATCCAGATAAATTTGCAAGCATTAGTTTGTATGGGACCTGTTGTCTCTAAAGCCCTTATGCATCCTTACTCATCTACTCCCAGAATTCTTAGTCAATGAATTTTAGAATAATGATTCTAATGAGAAATAAATATTACTTGTTTAAAAAAGTATTTTAACATAGCTCTAAGACAGACTAAAGTGCTATGATCTATATATCCAATAACCATTTTGAGTTTTTCCAACATCAGCTTCCGTGATATTGAATGGTGTACAATTGTTGCAGGGACATTTGGTTTTCCAGCAATATTTGGTTAATGACTTCTTATGCACCATGGGGAAAGTATCTCAGGCTCTCTGTTGACCAGGGATGGTTCTTCTCAGCTCAGTATTCTTTTACTTTGCACTGTTGATATTTGGACCGGATAATTCTTTGTTGTGAGGGCTTTCTTGTGTATTTTAGAGTGTTTAGCAGCATCACTGACCTCTACCCTCTAGACGTTATTCTCTTGCCAAGTTGTAACATCAAAAATGTCTCCACGGGTAAGATTCCTCAAGGGAGGAACAACCTAAGACAGGCACAGTCGCAGGGGGGCCATCAGGTGAGAAATTGGGGATCAACAGTGGTGAAGCTTAGAACCTCACCCCCCATTTTGAGAGAAATCTTCTGCATCCGTGGATGTTTTATTGCCCTTGTCTAGCTTGGATTAACACATAGTCTACAGGCACACACCTGATCATCTACAATTGCTCTCTTACAACACTAAACTATGTTTTCTACCTTTATCTTGCATCTACCTACCACTTCAGCATTTTATTAAAAATAAAAATAATAATAATAATAAAGGGAGAAATGTGGGATCCACATATAAATCAAGTATAAAAATCAAACGAATATTCATATTTGACCTGATTGTTTATAGTTCATAATGCGTGATCAAAACCGAAAGTTTCTGTGATGACTGCCCTTGTACTGTTCACCATGTAAGAACTTATTCACTATGTAAGAATTCGTTCACCATCTAAGAACTTGTTCGTTATGCTTCAGAAGATTGGAGACTGATGAGAATTAGGCTTGAGATGGGTTAATGATTGTGCATTGAGCATTGACTCCCCTATACAGAATTTTATTGTTGTTAACAACCATTTGATCAATAAATATGAGAGATGCCCTCTCAAAAAAAAAAAATGTCTCCAGCCATTGCCAGAGGTCTCCTGGGGGACCACCTCACTGCTGCTTGAGAATTACTGTTCTAGCTCTATTATTTGCTTGGTTAATAATAATAGCATTCATGGAGCGCTTACGAAGTGCCAGTCACTGTACTAAGCACTTGTGTCACTAAAGTTGAATCTTATAAAATTCCCATTATTATTGCTATTTTACAGATAAGTAAACTGAGGCATAGAAGTGTGGAGCAAACATGTTAGATTGCACAGCATTTCAAGAGTAGAGCCAGGATTCGAACCAGCAGTTAGGATTTAGAATTCATACTCTTAATCATGAAGATATAGCCGCTGGCCAGTGTTCATTTAAGAATATGTTGTTATAGCTTCTTTTCCAGGAAAACCCCACATGGCAGATGAAACAGGTGCTGCAGGAGGGTCCTAGGGCCCTGAGGCCCTGGAACAGGGGCTGCATGGCAACTGATGTGGAGCCTTCGGCAGTGCCTGGGCCAGGGCATGAACTCGTGGAGCTCATGGGGAAAAGGCTGAGAACAAGGAGTGGATTCCCATCACCAAGCTGGGCCACCTGGTCAAGGGTATGAAGGTCAGGTCACTGGAGGAGATCTGTCTTTTCTCCCTGCCCACCAAGGAGTCTGAGATCATTGACTTTTTCCTGGGAACATCTCTCAAGGATGAGGTTTTGAAGATTAAGCCTGTGCAAAACCAGACCCATGCTGGCCAACGGACCAAGTTCAAGGTGTTTGTCGCCAGTGGGGATTACAACATGTTGGCCCCTATATTAAGTGCTCCAAGAAGGTGGCCACTGCCATCTGTGGGCCATCATCCAGGCCAAGCTCTCCATCGTCCCTGTGCAATGAGTCTACTGGGGAACAAGATTGGCAGGCCTCATACAGTTCCTTGCAAGGTGCCTGGCTGCTATGGCTCTGTGCTGGTGTACCTCAGCCCTGCCACAGGGGCACTGGCATCATCTCTGCCCCTGCGCCCAAGAAGCTGCTGCTTATGGCTGGCATTGACTGCTATACCTCCTCTAGGGGCTGCAAGGGCAGCCTGGGCAACTTAGCAAGGCCGCCTTTGATGCCACCTCCAAGACCTACAGCTGTCTCACCCCTGACCTCTGTAAAGAGACTGTTTCACCCAGTCTCTTCACCAGAAATTCACTGACCATCTTGTAAAGACCCACACCAGAGTCAGAGGACTCAGGCTGCAGCTGTGGCCACTACCCACACTTTACTACAAGAAAATAGAAGTCTGAATTGTGACTCATAAATAGGTTGCCTTAGAACTTAAGTTTTTAACTATAGATGTATGAGGATGCATGCACACGCACGTACACACACATATACACGATTGGGATGCAGGCTGGGAGGAAAAATGTACAAGAAATAAATTCAGGAATATAATTCTTTAGGACTATACTGTGAAATTCACAACTCAAATATGTGAAGAGATATTGATAAAGTTCTTGGTACTCCAAAGTTGAGAGAGAAAAATCCTTTAGTTCATAAGAATATTTGTCACATGCATTCAACTCAGTGGATTGAGGCCTTGCAAGGTGACCAGTTACTCAAGGGTGAAGTCGTTAGAAAAAAAAATAGTCGATGAAGAAGGTGTTCATATCCAGTTGCTTTGCTGAGAATGTGGATGACAGTTTAAAGAGATTCCAAAGGTAACGTGATAATACGGCATGTCGAACTCAAGGGCAACCAGTGGAAATGTTCTGAATCAAAAATAAACGTTTGAGAATTCTTGAGAGGGCATTCAGTACATCTCCATCCAGAGAAATTGGGAAGGAGGGATATGTTAGACTATTTCAAGATTTCAAGAGATTTAACTTAGTAGGTTATAAATGTATTGTTGAAAATGTTAAATCTCATTATTAATTGAATTACCAAAATAAAGACTTCAGGGAAAGCTGGTCTTTATTTATTTGGCAGAAATCAGTTAAATTCCATTAAACATGATTTCAAAAAGATGTTTTTATAGTCCCTGTGTAGACCAAGGCTGTAAAATTCAATTACATAAAGGTAATCACTCTATCACATTCTGATAATCAGAAATAGCCATGGTGAAAGTAAAAAATGGTATATTGGATAGCTGCCCCTTCAGCAAATACCATTATAATAACAAAGTCTATGCATAGCTGAATAATTCCTAAGCTGCTCTTTGCTTTCACTCAATAACGAGTGTAATAAAATTTCATCCTAAGAAAGAAACTTGGAAACCCCCTTGTCCTATTATGACAGAATTTGACCTGAACATTTCTATGTACAGAAATGAAGAGGAAACAGCAAGTTTATTCCAGTTATTATGCCTTGGAAATCATGTGTTCACTCTATAATATGGCCTGGAAAGCTAGGAATAGAAGACTTTTTCTTTTTTTCTCAGAAAAACAACCTGTAGCTTCAACTGTGTCAGAAGAAACTTTATAAAGAAAATGTTATAAGGAAGAAGGAAAAAAAATCTGATAAAGAGAGGAAAATACTGTTAATCTGAAGAGGAGGAGGATGGAGAAAGGCAATATGATTTGGGGGTGCTTGATTTGGAAGACAAAGTAGGGGTTCAAACTCAGAACCTGAGTTTTCTTTCTGGCAGTGATGTGCCAGTCATGCAGCCCATCCCTCTAAAACAGAACCACATTATGGTTTATAACGTGCAGGTGCCAAGAATAGGTAACCACCTCCCTTAGCCTTTTAGAAGAGTCCAGACAAGCTGTACAAGGGAGAGACGAGTCTCCGGGAAAAGGAGTTACAAGCAGCCACCTCCCACTGTCACTTTGGGTCACTGGAAATACACATACTTGCCCAGGACGTGCGTAGATGCTTTGAGGAAGTTGGAGAAATTAACTCCAAGTGCTGCTGAGTGGAGAACACTTCAAAGGCAAGGGGCAGTGAAAGAACCAGAAGCCAATCAGAGTGAAGGGGATGTTTGAGCCCAGAGAGAGGGGAGCATAAAATGACTAAGGATTTGGGGCTTCTCTCTCTTCACTGCCTCTCTTCTAGCTGACTTCTGCCAGTGTGGACAGGTATTTACAACTTCAAGAGGACAAGAGGGGTAAGGTGAGTGCGGGGCAACTAGACTATGTCTACATGCATACATGTTGTCCCTTTGCATTTGCTGGTGAGACTGGCCAATTCTAATCACGGGACAGCGTTCCCAAGGTACTCTGCTTATTTACTTTCCACCTACTTGAAGAGTCTGCTCACAAATGCACATTCAAGAAAAGGAGTGGACTCTGTGGCCATCACTGCTCCCTCCCTCTCCTCTCTGTGTGGGGAGGTGCTGATGGCACTCAGGCCTCCATTCGTGAAACAGCTGGCACTCTGCAGCCTCTTTGGCAAGTTCACTGTGATCCTAAATAAGACACTGCTTGGGGAGGCTCCTTTGAAAGAGACACATTAACCGTTCTAAGGTGGTCAACTTTGAATACATTGCTACAGAATTCTTTTTTAGGAACTGTTTTCTTGTGGATATCAGAAACCAGAAATTTTAATCTGGAGAAGAAATCCCAACTTGTGAAAGACCTATGTCTCAGTTGTGAGCATTTTTGAGTCCTGGAGTAATGCTTTGGCTAAGTGACGAGGTCACCCACAGCAGTAAAGCAAAGTGCAGAAATGTTATTCAGTGACAAGCTCTTGCTCTTTGTTCCCATGCCATCTGTACAGAGATTTTTAGCCCATTTTACATGTTAACATTTTTTTAGAAAGGCTTGGGGATGGGAAAGAATTTCAAATGCCATTCATTGCTAGTCCCAGCATTAGTCCCAGATAGTCCCAGATAGTGATCACTCTGTGAGTTTCAGTTGGACATAGATGACCATCAGTTCTTACCTGTCTGGTAAAATGCAGTCTAATATATTTGTTGTTCATGTTGAGGACTGAGTCCATAAAATATGATGTTTTACTTCTGGTTGTTTTAAAATAAGCATCAAAGGAATTGGTGGATGGTTCAAAATAGAATGGTATTGTCTGAGCTGATGAATCAAAGGTGTCTGTATTACCTTCCACCTCACAGTGAAGTTCATTCCTAACTAATTTACATGTATGTAAAAAGGAATGTAGCTCATGTAATATTTTTTAGCAGGGGAGACTATTGGGACCTCAATAACTGTCAAGTGGTATGGGACTAGGTAAAGGAAAGATTCTCATGATGTCATCTTGTTCCTTACTCTCATGATTAAAGATGATCACTAAGAAAAAAAATAGTCCACAAGAGTGTTACAATATGTGGGCCTTGTATTCTTTGGGCACTTGACACATCCCAGAAGTTGCTTCCGAAAACTCTGGCAGAGCTGGCCTATTTCTCACTGATGGTGTGGGAGAGAGAGGAATGGAGATGGGTAAAACCATGTAGTTAGATGCAGATCATTGCTAAGATTCTAACTTTTATTTGGAGGGGTCAGAGTTCACAGGTGTACAGTAAATAATTAGTGACCTGCTGTTTTTGCTCCAGAGTCCCCTTATCTGCTTTGCTTTCAGCCATCAATGACGAGCAAGCAGAGATCGACTAAAAAATAGTTCTTAAATGTCATCTACAAGGTCTTTGTTTTGCTTTACAGCTTCTCATTTCACCTTTGCATTGTCTGTTATTCTAAATTGCTTGACTCGTTTTAGAAGCAGCCAGGACATAAATCCTAAATAGTAAAAGTTGTACATTTTGCTAATGTGTGTGTGTGTCTTCATATACACAAATGTGTATATGTGTATCTCTGTGTTCATATGTATATGTGAACAAATACATTTATAGGTAGCTAAATATTATTAATGATGTTAGTTTCTCTGACATAATACACATGTACATATATCTGTGCATATATACTATTATGCATTTGTATAAAGCTTTTTATTTTCCAAAATACTTTTTGTAGATGATCTTAATCTGAACTTCATAATCACCCTGCACAAAGGTTAAATGACCTGCCCGAATTCACACTTAGTAAGTGGGAAAGCCAGAGCTAGCCGTGAAATTTCCTGAGTCCTAGCCAAGAGTTCTTTCCACTACAACAGCTGGTTACTGGGAAGGCCAGGGGAAGAAACTGATTTAGCTTCTCTGAAGTTGAGAATTATTGATAGTGACTGAGATATAAGCAGTGCAGTTATTTTCCAAGACAGTCCTATGTGTGATTAAGTTGTATAAATGGCCATGTATGATAACTTTGATATGTTCTGTCTATATTATGCTATAGTTCACCATTACCTGGTACTCTAATTCTTTTGTGTTACTTATCTTTTTTGTTGACTTCATTTTGACAAACCATTCCATAGTTGTTCCTTATACTAGTAATAAAAATACTGATATAAGGTATCCTATTCTGAAGATATGCAAAACTAGAATCTTGAATCGCATTTACCTCAATTGCTCAAATAGTGGCAAAACAATATAATTAAATTCTATTTTCAATACTAACTGCCCTTTAGCCAAAACTGACACTGTTAAAACTTGGTGAACCATTTTTTTTTTAGACATTCTCTTTTGAGACCCCCATTTCTTTATCTAATTTATGGTTAAGTCTCACAGAGATAAGGCAAATTGAAAGGTCTTTAATTATTAAACCAATGCTTACTGTCAGGGTTAGTAAAAGAAATGGAAAAACTGTTATTTCATTACAAACCACAGCATAATAATAATCAAAATCGACCAAGTTGACAATTAAGCATTCTCCATTAGAACTCAAGATATCATTGCCAAATAAGGAGCAGTGGAAAAGCCCTTGGTAATAATCTTGGTTTGATAATGAGTATTCTGAAAGTTTAGCCTGACACCACAGACTTTTGTATTTGAGATCTGAAAGTCTTAAACGCAATTTTCACAGTCAAACAATTATTTTTTCTTGGAAAACAAGGTAACGCCCTGCATTCCATGGAGTAGAAGGTGAGATGCTCTAACAAACACACAGAAAAACATAGTGGCTTACTTAGACAGAAATGCAATTCTCACATTACAGTCCCGCCGGTCCAGATGGTGAAGGACATGGACTCCTCTAGGTCATTAAAGGGCACAGGTTCCTTTTTCTCTGCTGCATTACCATTCCCTGATGTCATGCTCCTCAGTGTTACCAAACCTGAGTCTCTATCACGTCTGTGCTACAGCCCATAGAAGAAAGGATGGCATAGTGTCCCGGGCAAGTGTCTTTTAGGAGATGACCCAGAAGCATGGGAACTTACTTAGTTTCAAGGAATGCTGGGAAATGTAGTCTACAGCTGGGAGGCCATGTTTCTAAAAAAAAATGGGGTCAAGGAGAAAGGTTGGAAGGTGGAAAGAGTGGGCTGGCTCATCTGTTAAAAGAAAGTGGAGTAGAAGAGATACTGGGGAACACCTAGCAGTCTCTGTCACAGCCATTACACAAAGTAAAATGCATTTGTTCGAGCAGGAATGGTACTATAACGAATCATCAGGGGCTTTCAGTTAAAAAATGAATTAGTGTGTAGTGTGATAGTACTTAGGTTATTTTAAAATAGTGGCTCTCAAGCTTTCTCAGTCTAGAATCATTTCTTTGGGGCAAAAGTTATGCAGGTAACTACACTCTGCACAAGATTTAACTGTGTACCTGGCTTTGTTTTTAAAGAGAAGATACAAAGGTAATTTCTAGTTTTTATATAACACAAGGAGATTAGAAAGGCATGGCCTTTTTTTCGACATCACAGAGGAATGAACTTTTCTAAGCTAACTTTCTAAATAGTGGAAACTTAACATTTTAAATTCTAATATATTTTCTAACAGCATTATTCTCTTTAGTATGTATGTGTCTGAGGGTGTATGTAATATTTATTAAACTTAGTTTTCTACCTCCTTAAACAAAATGTACTGAGCACAGTTGAATTAATTTATACTTTCATTCAATGCACATTTATTCAGCACCAATTACGTACGAGTGACCACATCAGACTCTCCATAGGGTTTCAGATTTATTCTTCCCAACAATCCAGTGAGATAGAATAAATTTTCCCTGTTCACATGTGAGGAAACTAAATGTCAAGGAGATTAGGTAACATGCTCAAGGTCACATAACCAAGCCTAGTTTTAAACCCCAGTCTCTGCACTTTATTCTACTTCTATCAGTTTTCTTCATAAAACATTTATCAAGCAACTTTTATGTCCTGACAGTAAGCTAGATGCTTTTATGTTTCCATCCTATTTAACCTCATGACAAGCCCATGACATAAATATTATTTTTCCATTTTACGGATGCTGTATCTGTGGTTCAGCAAAGTCAAGTACCTCACCCAAATTGCAGAGCAATGAGTAGGACAGACAGGGTTGAAATCTTGACTACTGCTCTTTCTGCTCAGAGCCCATCTTTCCTCCTATTTTGTGAAGTCACTACTCCCAGTGGACTTCCAACTTAGATGCAAAGCAGACTTGGTTTATCTCCCTCTCCTCTGAAACTCCTATCTCCTTCCTTGACATATCCTATTAACACTGTTGCAGAAACATCTCTCCAATCTATCCTCCAGCCTAGCCTGGCCTTTATCGTGTAAGGCCTAGAACTATTTCCTAACCAGTCTTTCCATAATCAAATTATCCCTGTTTATTCCAATCTCCACATTGTCAAGAGGTGTTCACCCCAAATTAATAAAAGCATCCAATCACATCACAGTTCTTCCATTCTTAATATGTTCCATTTGTTCTTGGATCTCCATAGAATAATATCTCAGTTCATTGGCATACAAAGTTCTCCCCAATTCAGCTGCAGCCTCATCTCTCATCACTCAGTTCCCACCCAACCTAAATTCTATCCATACTTAATGGTTTGCTAATCTCCAAACCCATCTGCCTTTTCATGCCTGTATTTTTGTACATGATGTTCTTGTGGCCTAGAGTAGCCTTTCCCATTTTTTTCTGCCTGAAAAACTTCTACACTTGAAAGACCTAATTATAATATAAAAGCACAAAGTTACTTCCCCAAAAGAAGTTGGTCACTCTTTGTTCCCATAGTACTACTCTCCATGTATCTTAAGTTGCATTGTAATCATGTGTATGTATGCCTGTGTCAACCAGACTATGCTCTCCTTGACAGCCAGGACCACCTGGGCCTTGCACAATGCCTGGCACATAATAG